GAGGATTGGAGGCTTTCAAGTTGGGTTTTTGTTGATTTTTTTTTGGCTTTTGGAGTGGAGATCTCCTTCGACGTTGCTTCTAACAAGTTTTTCCTTCAACCCCAGGCAAGTATCATCTCTACTAATCTCCCTCCCAGTTTTTTTTTAAAATATTTTTGAAGAGTTTTTAATGAGTTTTATAGAGCCTAATCAATTATTTTGTGTATAAAAATTGGATCTTTTGTATATATGTATGAAGACTAGGTCTTTTCATGTTAAAGAGATTAAGCACGAATTTATAGAAGTGTTTTAAGATCTGAAAATAATTTAAAATATCGTTTATCTGAATTTAGATGTCTTATGCTTCGTTTTAAAGTTTTGTGCATGATTGAAGGTTTACATATGATTTCTTGTGCAAATAATCATGCTTGTTATGTTCTGCTGAAAATCTGCTGCACATATACTATTGAGCTAGAAATTTGAAATAACAAATGAAATCCAAATTGAACCAAACTAATGCCAATTGAAAGATATGTGAATCTAGTTTTCAAAACAGAAAACCATACCTAAAGATAGTTTTGCTAGAGAAAGATATACTCATTTTACTGATGATATATCCTGCAGAAAATATGCTGCACATATAAAATGTTTGACTGGAAATTTGAAATATCATATGAACTCCAAACTGAGCCAAATTAGTGTCAAATGATATCTATGTGAGTCTAGTTTCCAAAACGAAAAACTATTCTTAAAAAGAGTTTGTCCAGAGAAAGATATTCTCATTTTACTAATGCTATGTTCTGCAGAAAGCTGCAGATGTGCTGATTTGAGTCGACTCATCGGAGTTTTTCCTATTTCGTTTGTATTTCTGCTTGATCAACTACTATGCTTATACTTTCATACAGTGTTCATATATGATCGAGGGTTCTATTGAACTTTTGTTGAACATGAGTAGTTGCCTTGTTTATCGAGTATTAAATTGTAGTATTCATGTTTTCATCTACACATATGAGATGACTTTTCTGACACAAGCTTAGATCTGTACCGTGAGGCATGCACAAGAGTAGAATATGTATACCTTTACTACTAGTATTCCATGGTTTATATATACATTCCTCGTGTTGGACTATAATCCATTGAAGTCCTCGTGTTGGACTATAATCCATTGAAGTACTCGTGTTGGACTATAATCCACTAAAGTCCTCGTGTTGGACTATAATCCATTCCAGTCATCGTGTTGGACATTTACATATTTGACCACGTCTTGGACATTTGTTAAGCTATGAGTATGACACTTATCTAAATCAGGACATGACATGATTACATGAGATTTGGACATGATAGCTACCTAGGCTGTACATGACACTTATGTAATTTTGACCTTTGACACTTATTTGGTTATGACATGACACCGTATTTAAGTTTTGAGATGGGTTGTATTTCTCTTTATTATTGTTCCTGTATTAGATTTTGGGTTTGGTGTTTAGGGATTTACAATTTGAGATACAAGGTATATACATGAGGGTTTCCTTGTTTGGATTATTTCGCTCGACGTACCTATGCTCGTGTTGTAAATCTCTAAATACTAAAATCCTCTTTTGTTAGGATCTATGATTTTAGAATATTATGTATTCACTGTATTTTCATATACAACGAGCCCTATCCTTTGGGGTTGGTTGTGATGATGCTCGCTAGCGCTTTGACGCTCGTTGTCCCTCCCCCTTTCAGGTAACGAGCCAGGAGCCCAGAGAGTCGCAGGTTGATGGCGACGCATTTTAGTTTTAGCCGTCTATTTAGTTATATTTTCTTTTGAGCTCCACTGTAGACTTTTGTGTAGACATGTGAGAGTTTTATTCTAGAAATTTTAAAGGCTGTGTGCCTTATTTCCCTTTGTCAGACATTTTGTATTTGAGACTTGTTGAGGACTCCAGTTCATTTATTTCAGACATTTACTTGTATTCCAGTATATTAGATAATGAAATATTAAATCTCTATTATTTCATCAGTTGATTCTTGTATAATCTTTTACTTGCTTTGTACTACACCTGTTGTTGATTCCACTAGAGAGATAGTAAATGTGATGGTGAAACATGTTATTGCACGGTGTGGTGCATGGCAGGTTTAACATTTCTGGTTTCACCTCGGACTGGTAAATTTGGTGTTTTATATGGAATCATAACTTGAGTATGATCTGATTTTCGGAGTTCTTAAAAGAGTATTGAAGTGTTCCCGAATTCTTATTCGGCAGAGAGTGAGGCTTTATTTTGGTAGAGAACCAGAGGGATGCTACTATTTTTTTTGGGACATAGGAAATGTGGCTTATTGGTCATTGGATGTGCATGAGGTTCTAAGAAACAAAAATAGTTGAAACCATTTAAAGAGGATGAGCAAGAAGGTGGTTATTAGAGAAGTTGATTGCTTGCAGGAAGGTGATGACATTTGCCGATGACGAGCTCTCAAATTTATTGATATTTTGTATATAGAGAAGAGCCTTGTGTTTACTTTTCGCACATGGCCCCTAAAATCTCAGAACCGGCCTTGAAGGTGGTTATTAGAGAAGTTGATTGCTTGCAGAAAGGTGATGACATTTGCCGATGACGAGCACTCAAATTTATTGATATTTTGTATATAGAGAAGAGCCCTGTGTTTACTTTTCGCACAGGGCCCCTAAAATCTCAGAACCGGCCCTGGTCGTGGTTCAGCAATTTTCATCAGGAATGAGGCATCAAGTCTCTCTCAAAATTGTACTAGACCCTTGTGGAAGTCTATTACGTCTTCAACCATCATTGTCAAACCTTTTTCATATGCTCTTTGACAAATATTATATTCTTCTCATCTTAAAAGATCCTTGTTGCATATTTTATTCAAGTTTACGTCTTTTTCAATCTCTCTTTGGGCATTTATTTCATTATATGCCTTGTGTTGTCTAAAGCTGAATTCCTAATGTTTAGAAGTTGAATTTCTCAAGCCATCTAGAGACAGTGTAGTCCGAATATCAAAAACTCAAGTGTTTGATAGAATTTTAGGCAAAAAATGATTCTGTACCTATTACTTGAAGAATTTTCAACCCAAGCAGTTTTATGAGTACGATAGGAGTCCAAAACTAGCAATAATGTCATAATGATACACAACATTAATCCAAATCCATATAATTTCATTTAATTTATAAGAGTACTATGGTTCTAAAAATATGTGATTTTATCTCGCCTGCGAGATTTTCATTATTGAAACTCAGAATATCGAAATATTTCTTGATATTTATACATACATTAGTTTTATAATATTATTTTGAGAAAGGTATTACTAAGGGGTCATTTTTTTGTCAATGGAAAATTTTATTCATTCATAGAAGTAGACGCCTTAGATGCAATCTAATGATGCACGACTTAATGTATATATTAGACTATTCTAATGGATGATTCGTTCCATGCACCGTGATCTACATATCTCAAAATGGTTATAAAATAAAATTCATGATGTTTTTTTTTTTGAAAAGGCAGGTAGGTTAACCTTAAAATAAGATCATAAAACTAAATTTTAATTGTAGATTTGACATCCCATATGTCAAAAGTAGGATTTTTACACCAAAGTTTTTACTTTAAAAAAAATATTAATGAAAATCCTAACTTTTTGTTCTGGGGACTTACATCACCATCAAGAAACTTTAGATCTAATTTAAATAAATATAAGATGCAATCAGATCTGAACCTTAAAATAAGATCAAAGATACGAGCAACCCTAATGTGCTCTGATCCCAATGTTGACTATACAATGAACATGTTGAATATTGAAATCTCTTATTTGGAGGTTACCTGTCCCGAATCTTTTGGAAGGATCGCCACACATCCATTCTTGATCTTTGAACATGACCGGAAGGCGACCACATCAATACGACGAAAAGCCCTCATATATCATCCCGCGACTAGCGCATAAATCATAGAATTGAGAGAGGAAGAAGATGACAATAGTCTATTTTTCTATATTCGTTTTATCTCTACATAAGTGCATATTTATAGAGTAGATGACAAAATCCTAACCATTTAGGACTAGAAACCAGTTCACTAAAGGATTGGCTTGAGCCCAGTGAGGCTCGACCATTCAATTGGGCAACCCCATAAATTACTAGCACAAATAAACAAAGTTAAGAGTCAAGAGGCTAGGTAAAGCGATAGAACTCCCTAGTTTTTAGGGGGGGTGGTAATAGGGCTGTGTAATAAAACTAAAAATGGGGTTTTATATAAAAATCACCTTAACTTTCCTCCAAATTATAACAACTTATCGCTTTTATTGTTTTTTTACATAAACCACCTACATTTGCTAAAATATTTTCAATGTCACATCTTCGCCACTATGTAGCCCAAGAAGAAAAAAAAAACACTTTTTTACCCTTCTCTCTCCACATTCCCCTCTTCTCCCCTCACTCCTCCACTTCCTCTCCTCTCCCTCTCCCTCCTCGTCCACTTCCTTCCTTCCCTCTCCTCTTCCTCATCCACTTCCTTCACCATCTCCTCCATGTCCGGGGGTTTCTCCAAACTCCAATTCTTTCATACCTCCTCCTCCTCATTACCCTCCTCCTCTTCCCTCCTCCTCTCCCGCCAACCTTCCTCCCCCTTTCCCGTCCTCCTCTGCTCCTCTTTTTTTTTTCTTTCTTGAATTAAACTGAGGGATTTAATAGTAAGTTTAGAACTTTTTTGAAACAGAAAGCGCTAAAAAGCGTGACACTAAAAACATCTTAGCAAATATATTCTATTTTAAAAAAAAATAAAGATGGTAAGTTACAATTTGGAGGAAAGTTAAGGCGGTAAAAACCCTTGAAAAAATCCAAAAGAGAGGTAATTTTGTGACAAACTACTCACAGACTGACACAGTGACCCCACAGAGGGGAAAAAAAGCAGAGGACCTGCACCGTTCGCCCTCGAAAAGGGGCCCCCTAAATCCGGTCGGCCCATAATAAAGTGGCCCGCCACGACTCGGAGGAAGAGCCCCAAAAGGCAGCCCAAGTACCTCATAGAAGAGATACCCTTGAAATAAAAAAAGGCGAGATTTTTTTTTTTTTGTTTCACCTCTCCTTTTTTCAAATAAAAAGTTCTTTTCGTTCGGTGCACAATCTCAAAAAACACTTCATGGGTTTCGAATCTTAGGCTTCACTTCTCTCTCTTCTGTCCAAAAGCAGAAGGCATTCAAACATCTGAGAGGTACAATGGATTTGGAATCGGCGTCTCGGAAGAAAAAGCAGCTTCTGCTTCTTTTGGATCCTCCCATTAGTTTGGATATGGCGATTCCAAAGGAGTTCCACTCCGATAAACACGCCGCCGCCGCCGCCGCCGGAGGAGGCGGCGGAGGTCTCTGCCTCCAGCTTCGGGTCCCCAACGTTGGGCAATCGATGAAGGTGATCCTAGCTAATTTTGGATTATTTTCTGGTTTAGTGTGCTAAAATTCTGTTTTTATTGTATTTTATTAGATGGGTATATTCTAGTTTATCATCTGTTTGATGTAATGCCAACAAAAAAAAACCCACTGTTTTTTAATGACAAGTTTGTAATAGAGCTTAGTTGTTTGCTGTTTTTGGTTTCATGGGTCAAAAATATGTTATTTATTGTGTTTAATGAGAATCCTGTTTGATATAGTGCGACAAAGAAGTACCTGTTTTTATGACCTATTTTTATTTATAGAAATGTTAGGGGCACACCCCCAACCACAATCTTATTTTTTTTATTCACGTATTCTTTTTTTCCCCCTGTCTAATGAACTAACTTTTCTCTTTACTGCTTTAGAGTAGTTCTTCTCTATTTGGTGTTAGAATTCCTTTTAAAAAAAGATGGGTATATTCTAATTGGGCTCTTCTGTATGATATAATGCCGCAAAGAAAGAAACAGCCGTTATTTATTTATTTATTCATGTTTGTTGTATCCATGTATCCTTTATTCTTTGAAACAAACTTGAAACTTGATATCAGTTTCTCCTATTTCTTTTATATGGTGGGTTTTGCGAATTAGTTTATGCTCATGCCCGCCCTTTGCGCTCATTGCTAGTTAATTCTTTTTATCAAAATCCAGTTCTGGTTTATTATGCTCATGCCCGCCCCTTGCTCTCATTGTTGTCTAATTCACGGCTCACCCCATTTTTATGTGTAGAGTTATACATGATGATGATAATGATGACGCAACCGAGGGTTTGTGAACTCCACTAATCATTTTACATGATTATTAGATGCATAGTATCATCAACCCAGTTTCTAGAGTGCGTTTACATATTGCAGTGTGTATCAATTGGAACTTCCTCTTGCGAAAGATTATCCAGTTGTGTTCATTTGACTGTTGTCTAATCACGACTACTTACATTAGTTATTAAATGAAATTTATAAAAATTCACTCATATCTCATTTATGAATCTAGTTCATTGTAGGCTGTAAGCTAAACTTATCATCTGTCCTCTTAACCTGATTCTTGCTTAGTGTTGGGAATTAGAGATTTTCTTTCTTGAATGCATGAGCTTAAAGAGCGGTAGCAATAAGGTGATGCCTTGGTGTTTCGTTTTCTTGGTGTGCTCCATAGTCTACTGAACTTTCAAAGAAAAAGATACACATGCGACAATGATGAGATTACAGGAACTTAGTTGTTGATTTTCTTGCATTTATTCTGGAGATTGATTGCTGCCCATGGATGGAATTTAAATGTGAGATATAGATGACAAAAAGTGGATGCTTGCCTTTTATATATAATCATTTTGTTTAAATCATGATGCAGAGCTTCTTTAAGACTAGAGAAGTTGGAGAGTTTGTCAGTGGGGCATTAGCTGGTGCAATGACAAAAGCTGTTCTTGCTCCTTTAGAGACCATCAGGTGCAGCGCTCTTTTTCTCATTTTAACTATTTTTTATTCAAGAAACTTCCTTTGGCAAACAGAGAAGGTTTGTTCAGATTATATACTCATCTGGGATTCCTAAAACTGTGCTCAAGTACCAAGGTTCTCTAGTATGTTACGATAGCTTAAGGAACACTATATTTTTCTGATCACGTTTTAGTTTTAGATCGTCACACACTCATGGATATGCTTGTTCGTGGATCTGTAAGAGCTTTTTAGTTGTTATTGTCTCAATGGACGTAAACTATTGAAATATCTCTAAATAAGTATTTGCGAAAGAACAATATTTGTTTATTCCCCTTTCAAGGAAACATGTAGTAAACCGGAAGCAATAGATTCAAAAGAGATCTAATGGATCATTATGTTCTACTTGACGGTGTCATGCTTTTTCTGTCTAGTACTACGTTGTACAGTAAAGTTCAGTAAACATCGAAAGTATCATTTTAACCGGCCTAATGCTACTATATTCTACGTGCATACAGGACTAGAATGGTTGTTGGAGTTGGATCTAAACATATTGTGGGCAGTTTCATAGAGATTATGGAAGAGAATGGTTGGCAGGGGCTATGGGCTGGAAACGCCATCAACATGCTCCGCATAATCCCTTCTCAGGCAATTGAGTTCACAACGTTTGAATGTGTCAAAAGGACATTAACAACAGCACAAGAAAAATGGAAAGAAAATCCAAAGCTCCAGATTGGTAATATTAACATAGACCTCTCCTTTCAGTGGATTTCTCCTTTTGCTGTTGGTGGCGCAGCTGCCGGCATAGTGAGCACACTCGTGTGCCATCCTCTTGAAGTAATCAAGGTGAATTATTAGTTTAATTTGTTATAGTGGTATTTATATTGGGTAATAAATGGTTTTTTTGTTTAAGATGTTTCTGTAACTTGAAATAGGTTGTCATATTAGAATAGCATTGGAATCTATGTCATCCTCAACTTGAAACTAAGGAGAGTACATCCACCTCAACTGGTATGTTTGGTTAGGTGAGGTTTTAGCAAAAAGGTGTTCTTAAAATATTCTCTCAAGGTTCCCGTTGAGCATTGGAATTTTTTTTATATAAATTAACTCCACCGTCCTCTATTTATAGGCTCATGGGACACTGTTGTTCTAATGCTAGTAATCCATATTTTGGACTATTGAGAGTCTATATAACAGTGATCTATCATTTTATAGATACCCTTAGATGAAAAGAGCAAATGAGGAGAGTGCATGTAGACGGGCGAATTGCATTAGCTATCTCAATTATATTGGTTCCATTAATGGCATTTACGCAAATGAAGAGTTAGGACATTTTTGGAAGTCCTGCAAACATCGCATGTTATGGCTAGGTACAAGTATTCTGCTAGTATATGTTGTTTTGTAAAGAATGGATCATTCAGACGACCGACCTCAATTTTTCTTTAAAATATGCTTTCTAGTTTCAAGGCACTTAATACTTGTTGCACAGATCTGTCCATTATATCATATTATATTCAGCTGAGATCTGTTTGTTATACAAACTTTTATGTTGACATGGCAAATCCATTTTCTGTCTGATATCATGCAAGAATTCTGGTTTTTAAGAAGGCAAAGGTGTAGTTATCATCTACGTACTCGGTTTGATTATGTTGCAGGATCGTTTGACTGTGAATCGAGAGCTTTACCCCAGCATTACCCTTGCTTTCAAAAAGATATGTAAAGATGACGGCATAGGCGGGCTCTATGCTGGTCTTTCGCCTACACTTATGGGAATGCTTCCTTATAGTACTTGCTATTATTTCATGTACGAGACACTGAAGACTAGTTACTGTAAAGCCAATAACAAAAAGTCTTTGAACCGTGCAGAACTACTAATAATTGGAGCGCTCTCAGGTGATTCTACCTTGAGATTGTTTGCTTTATTACAAGTTTTTAACAAAAAGAAAGCAATTTTAACGTGATTCTATGACTTCTAGGAAGTGGAAAAAAAGAGAGAACATGAAGAGGCTAGTCTACCAGGGTTGGTTGGTGAATAATTTATGATAATTAGTCTAATCAATCATTTAGTAGCAAGAATGAATTCTTTTATACTGTAGGAATTTATATTATGAGTATTACTGCGTAAATGACTGGGGTGATTAAATGCTTATTGAAGTAAAAAGAAAAGCATAGTACATTATTGATTTAATTGTGTTCTCCATATTGTTACAGTTTTTTCACATGCAATCTTTGTTTTGTGATTCTTCATATAATTTCTCTATACAAAAATTTAGGGGCAATTTACAGAAAGTTCTAATGGTTACAAGATGAAAAGAAATCTCCCTTATGCTCCAAAAATAATGTCTGGCCCCTTCCCTCTGTAGTTCTATGACGTCAACCTTCATCCAAATTTATGTAAATGAAGGGAATACAGCGTCGCTCTTGGAACCTTATAAAGATATTTGTGATTCCTTCAAAACAGAGGAAAATTTCTGTAATTTATGCAAACGTTAATCTGTTGGGATTTCACTCCGTAAGGTGATAGAGAAAATCAGTCAGGTATTGTGTTTCTTTATCAATTAAACATCCTACTCCCTTAACCTTAAGACATTTCAGGGCTCTGTCCACAGATCTAACTCTGATCTTGACTTACCTTGGCGTACAACAGTAGAAAACCTTATATAGAGGAGCTAATCTACTCTATCATAGCCCTAAGGTCCCTTGAGTTTGAATGGGATACAGCCTCTTATCATGACAGGACTTAGCCTCTTAACCACAATAGAATTCTAACCTTACTAAACTGCATGAAGTTACATACGAAGAATCTAAAGGCAATCCCAACATAATATGCCTGATGTGCAAAATATTTTAAACATGTACTTCTTCATTGTCTTCCTCAGGTTTCACTGCGAGCACAATAAGTTTCCCTCTGGAAGTAGCTCGCAAGCGATTAATGGTCGGATCTCTGCAAGGCAAATGCCCTCCTCACATGGTCGCTGCCCTTTCGGAGGTCATCAAAGAACGAGGCATCCTCGGCCTCTACAGAGGATGGGGAGCAAGTTGTTTGAAGGTCATGCCTTCATCAGGCATCACTTGGATGTTTTATGAAGCTTGGAAAGATATCCTTCTTGTTGATCGACACAAGATATAGCAAACATTATGTGAAAGAATAAACCTTACTGTTTCTGTGTAATTTTCTTGCTGCTGATTTTATTGTGGCAGCAACTGGGCTCTCCATCCAAGGTAAAATCTGGATGTTTGAGGGGAAAGATTGACAATTTGTGGTAACTTGGAACTTGTATGAACAATTGAGCGGATAAGATTGAGAAAACTGAAGATTAATAGAGTTAAATTTTGTTGCGGCTTAATTTTGGTATTAAAGCCGAAGCTTGATTTCGTGGTGAAAGAAAGTTCGTAGTTTAATTCTGTTTGTGATTTTGTATATTTAGTAGATTCTCTATTTACTATTATCTTGAGAAAGATTTGTATGTCATATATTTTGTGAATGAATAAACAAACAACTGTTGCTTCTGATGTCGTTGTGGCAGCAACTGGGAGGTTGACCTCCATAGTTTTCTAGGGAAGAAAACCATGTGGAGAATGAAAGATTAACTAATTTTCTCCCTTTGTTTCATGAGAAAGAAAGTGTGCATTTTGGTAGGTTTGTTGATCTTTTGCGACATTTCGAAATTCCTTTCAAAGCTAATAAAATGTGGATGTTAAAGGTAAAATATTAATAATTTGTGGATTAACTGTGAAATTTGTATGACACTTGGGTTTGTTTTAATGGCTGGATTAGACTGCGAAAACTGGAGTAATTGATGAAATAATAGATTCTATGAAAACTGGAGTAATTGATGAAATAATAAATTCTATGTTGAACGATAGAATCAAATTAAATTGAATCCAGACTTACCCATGGAGTTGAATCCAGACTTACCCATGGAGTTGTGAATATGATAAACTTTAAGTAAATCACAAAATCACAAGCTCAGAAAGAAATACATTTATTCTTCTTTTGTCTATCAGAAAAATTAGAAAATTTACAACCAAACCCATGTAAGAAAAAACTAAGTACAGATTAAGCATTTTGAAATGGAGTTAAACTATCCTTTACTGACAAAAATACAACAATCTAATTGTTTGCTAGTTGACATAATTCATTTTCAGCGGTTACAATTTTTTTTAAAAAAAATTAAGGAAAAAGAAATGAATCAAATTGAGAAAGAACCTTATATATAACAAAATGAAAACAAGCAAATTGAGCCTACTGCATCAAAGGAATCCACTCCATCTCTAAGAACATCTCTCCAGACTCCACATTCTGTAGCTTTAAAGATATCTCTTGCTTTATTTTCCCATCAATGACGTGCACTGTGCTATCATCGATAAGGGCATTGTCCGCTGATTTCAACCACTTGCCAATCTGCATGTCAGAGAGGAGGTCAGGGTCCCCGAAAGCCATCGCAGATTCAATCATTGGCTGAAGATCGATTTCTGCTTCACCCATTAAATCATCAGAAGATAGCATGTCATGATCATAAACTTCCTGTAGCAAGGATGTAAATAAGTTTATATTAGTATTATGAGCACGAGTAGAGTTATAAACTTCAATGGACTGAGAGCTCTGTCTACCAATTTTTTTATGTGTGATTTGCTTTGAGATCCGTGACACATATTTTAATGCTATCTTTGAGATGCGTGCGTTGATGTGTATCGCAAACAAGCACGAAATCTCAAAGCAAAAGTTAAAGATAAAAATGTTGATGGACAGACACTTCAGTACACTTAAACCTTATGAGCAGATTATATGCATTTTTCGAATGTGCAAATTCATGAGTTCTACCCATGATCATTTTTGTTTATATAGATTGAAGAAGAGAATGTAATTATGACAAAATTTTACACATGCAAAGAGCTCATATACGTAAAAGAATTGAGATTAGTTCAAGGCTTTCAGGCATAACATGGAGAAAAAGAAATCCAGTGTCCGTAAGGACAATTCCCACGTCTATGAATAAAAGTTTCACGCCAAGGAATTCTAATACTTAATTATTGTGTATCTTCGATCGTAAATGAGCATAAACAATTTCTGGAAGGAGATTTACATAGTATAGGAAAAGGAAACCTAATTCTACCATCAGACTCACAAGTTCGATGGCCTATAAGCTTTATACGATGATAAGAATCATTATCTAATCAACTTGTTCAGTGAGCTTCATATGTACTGTAACCACCTGCAATCTATTTATCCCATCAGACTTACCAGTTTAAGGGTTCCATAAGATTCAGGGACTGAAAGCTTAAGCTCCTCATTCCAAACTGGATTTAGGTTGCTCTGTACTACCGTTGTCTGCACCTTCTGTAGTTGAGATGAAAAACGTTTGCATGCAACAAAATAAATAACTCAAACTTCTCTTATTGCCAAAACAATAAACCTAAATTTTATCCTAAGATGCTACTAACCTGTTTCCCAAGAGTCAAAACTACATAAGGATCACTGCTTAGCATATCTCTCACAGCCATGTTTGTACCTTTTATTACTTTGGCCTTCAATATTCCCATGAACTCTACCATGCCCTCCTTTGAGAAATTAAAAACAAGAGGTTTCTATCAGTCAGCACTCTTTGACAAAGACAATAGAATAACCAAGATATTTATGATATTACTGATGAAAATGAATGGATAATTGCAAGAGAACACCAGTTCGCTATGTTCAAAAGTTATTTAATGGATGAAATATCAAAACTTACTGTATTTAAGGCGTCAAAATCCACATCCCTCACTGAATCACACGACCTGAAGGAAGAGAAAGAGCTCTTCGAAGAAACAATTCGCAGGCTGGGCTTCAAAAATTCTTGCAACTCATACTTTGATCTACAAGGTGAAATTAAATTGAGTCTCCTAGATCACTCATGAATGATATCAGAAATCAACCTTCAACCTAATTTCACCTGATGAACTTGGAGCGCTCTTCATTACTTGAGTCTGGGCTCGGTTTTGAAAGACCTGATGGTAGGAATGCCTCATAAATTGAATTGGCATAAGAGTTTCCTCCAACCTCAACCATGGACTCAATTTCCTCATCAGACCAGTCATCTAACGTCACGGATAGAACCTGCGTCCCAAATAATTGGAAGTAGAAAATAATCATTGATCAACCACGAATTTTTGAGGAATAATATTCAGAAACTATGAGTATTTCCCTGTGAAGGGACAATAACCCAATAACATATAGACATAGTACACAAGTTTTTCTCTCCCTTTTTTTTCCTTATACATAAAATTGCTGAGACTGCAATACTTATAAATACTAATGTAATTCTCTCTTCTTTCATAGGGGAGGAGCTTAATTCTTCGTGAAGCTATCAGAATTCTCAGTTAGTCTATGAAAAATTCATGTAAAAAAATAATGGCTTATTTGTAAAAAAAATAAAGATGGACAGAATAAAGTAATAGCAACTAATTGTGATTAGCTTCGAGATCCAACTGACAAACATGAGACGAGCAATTCTGTGCACCTTTGAGATATGCGTACCAAGACTTCGATGTACACCTGAACATTTTAGGCATATAAATACCCCAATATTGGATGACCTGAAAAAAAAAATCACGTTTGCTTCAGACACATGCTTACGCCGATATTTAACTGTTTGCATTCAAGTTAAGCTTGAAGCAAGTAACTACAGTCATTGATTTTTTAACAATCTGCATGTACCATAGAATGACCATCAGCATAAAAAAGAATGATACAGGAAAAAAGCTATTGAGCATAATGATAATTTTGTTAATCGAATTGGTTCACTACTCCTAGGGGATTTGATTTAGACGGTACTAGTATTATGATGTATGTGATGCGTGCATGACACCAAATCTGAGAGAGTGTTGTAGTCAAATTGCCAAGAGGATGTATATTTTTATTTTCTTCCTAATTTCAGAGATTTTTTGTTGATTTTCTCAAGTGTGAGGGAGTTTCAGTTGATTTTTCAAGTGTCATTTACATTAATTTTTTAAGATGTGAGGGCATTTTCACTGATTTTTTTCAAGCGTAAGGTCATTTCCGCTGATTTTTCAAGATGTGACGGCATTTCTGAAATTCTAAAATGAAGCCCACAAAAACCAAAAGGGGGGATTATTTTGTATAATATTATAGGTATCTTGTGTTCCTATATGTTTTACATATAAATAGAAGTTGACTATGACACCCCAAGCAATAATATGAAAACACTATAAGGAGTTGGAAAAAAAACATTAAACAGGCATATCAATAGCTACGTGCTAGATCTTCTCATAAAAATATCCATGGATTCATATCCTACACATATATGTCCTTAAGCATGATATTTTTTAGTCGGGGGTGTTATTCATTTGGAATTGTTTGGTAAGACTAGGATTGTTGTCCAAGAATCCTATATTAAAAATACGTCATATATCTACTAACTAAATATGGAACTGTAAAGTGTAAAAACCTACGATACCATAAGACTGCAGATGTATTTTGTGCTCTCTGTAAGTAAATCATAGTGCTTTTATTTAAATAAATTTCCTCACATTTTACTTTACCCATTTCACATAAGAACCCCATTGATAGTTCTTACAAAAACTTCAACCTGAAAATACTCACAGTAGGATATTTGCTTTTTCCAGGGGAACCTGCTGCACTAGATAGACTATCTTCTCTCCAATATATCTCCACTTGAGCATTAGTTGTCACCTCAATTTGCAGACATGATCAATATTAATTTGAATCTAATTTATAATGCTTCAAATGAAATCTGCTATTGTGTAATAGGAATCACGCATTGCAAATCTCATGTATGGCCTCAATCTGTATTACATAGCTTCATTTCATGAGTAGTCCAAAATTAGGGCTAAATTTATTCATCACTTTATCTTACATTTTACTCAAGTCATCATGATCGTCAATAAAAGTCTCAAGAAACTAGTTATATCAAAAAGAAATGATAGCAGATAACAACATTGCTTAATATAAAACTCATACAATTTTAAAAGTAGCAAATTAATCAAATGTAAAATGTCAACAAATATAAGGTAAACTCATACAATATTTATTAAATGCTTACGTGAAGAAAAGTATGCTAATGTATTTGTGTGCGTGCAAGCCAAAGATACTTACGCCCATTTAGGTTCTGGTGCACCACAATCTGCACATATTCGATTTTCGCTTTTATGCAATAGATCCTTCAATTTCCTTAAATTAGCTGTCGGAAGACAATTCGAAATTAGTTAGACAATTTGTATCCAAGTAAGTAGTAAGTAAGCAACTTGTATATGTTCGATAATGATGTTGATGTTGGCAGTAACAATTAGGTTTAGATCTAGCAACAATAAAATTGGGTTCCTTGAGAAAAGCCTTGATCGAACCTTCTACTTAATTTAAAATTATTTCTATGTCATTTATGCCCTATTTAATTTACTAAAAGGTATACAAATGTCTAGGCTATAGTAAAGTTCATCACAGAATCTCTTCACAGTTATTACCATCAATTGGTCATCATAAACCATAATTTGAGCATTTACTTGAAAAGACAAATGCTTCTTCATAGGTTACATAGAAAATTTTCACCTTAGTTCTCAACTCACTCAAAAGTACATAGCAAATGCAATTCATTTGAGGGTGACAATTCAAAATTTAAAATCATTTAAGGGTGACAGCTCATCACAAAAACAATTGTTACTTTCTGCTTGTTAAATTCCACTGTAGTTTCTCTCGCATGCAAAACCAAATCTTAAACAATAAAAGGAAGATAGTTTAATGATTAATTCTCCTCTATAGATTATATTATTGTCTTGACTTTTGGCTATTCTATCCGCTGTTTCTTTGCAATGTGGAGAGTATGATTATTCAATAATTCTATAGTATTTGGAGAAGAAGAGCACATTTTTAGACACTGTGGCATCGAACAAAATTGATGCACACTACTACAACTTCTAGATAACGGGCATTTCATTTCATTCTTTCTTGTTTGCTTGATTTTTAAATTCATTTCATTCATATTCTTCTCAATTCCTTTTCCTTTTTCTTTTTAAGGTCTGAATTTAAATGATTAAGAAATTGAGACGCAGAAAGCATGTAGAATAAACTTGGTTGTACTTGCTAACTTGCAGGTGGTTTTGACTCAATATGTGAGAAACCAGGCACCAAACTACTGCTAGCTAGTGCACGAGACTGTCCTCATCAAGGAAGAAGCGGCCTCTCAGAATTTCCTCACATCCATCATTTTCCAAGCAAGTGGTTGTAACTTGAGAAGAGGTGTAAAGTTAACATATATATTGTTCCATTTCCCATGCTTTTTTAATGCAAAAACACGTTTGAAATGAGGGAAATATGTATTGCAATTATTTTTTATCAACAAACTAAAACTCATACTTGAAATAAAAACGGGAGCCTTAATATTTCATCAAATTCAATCACTAAACACATAAGATTTTCCCATGTTTTTTTTTAATGCAAAAACACGTTTGAAATGAGGGAAATATTTATTGCAATTATTTTTTATCAACAAACTAAAACTCATACTTGAAATAAAAACTGGAGCTTTAATATTTCATCAAATTCAATCACTAAACACATAAGACACGACGTATAGCCGTATAGGCTTAGTTCACATCCCCCTCCCTTCGGCGCTCCGATTCTGAATTTATAAGTTAATAAATCATACAGATAACTATCACAACAGAAGACTCTCCTCTTCACTGGAAAAGCAGCTAACAACCCGCATTTCAAAATTGCACTTATGCCTGACCATTTTATAGTAATAACGTTTAGACTTTGTAGGTTGGTTCACTGTGATCGTGAGGGTCAAGGGGGGACCCACCCACGTGCCCGCTGCTGCTTATCCTTTGCGCGGGCTTGTCCCTTGTGCGGACGAGCTCTCGTCGTGAGCTCGTGTCCGTGCCGCACGCGCCGCCTGCCCACGACGCGCTCGAGTGGACAGCACGAGTTTCGTGTGCCGCCTGCCAGCTTTCGTGCGCGCGCTCTTTCCCGCGATTTCCCCCGCGTGAGCCCGCCTAATTTTTTCTGTTTTCCCCCCTTTCATCTCCTATAAATAGAAGTGGTTATGGAGGTGTTTTGGTGTGAGGAAAAATCTCAAGTGGAGTTTTGAGAGAAAAGAAAGAGTGAGTTGAGAGAGAATTTATAATAGTTTGGTATTCGTCTCATAGTTAATACCCCCTCCCGTGGACGTAGGCAAGTTTGCCGAACCACGAAAATCCCGTGTTTGTATTTGTCTTATCTGTGAGTTACCATAGCTTGTAGGTTTCCTCGATATTTTAGTCTTAGAACTGATAAGAGGAAGAGTGTATATTTCACTTTAATAAAATATATCACTTTCGATTCTTGTTTCCTTTGAGAAATAAGAATTTCACTATCTATTCTAGTTTCCTCTTTGAGAAATAAGAATTTCACTATCTATTCTAGTTTCCTTTGAGAAACAAGAATATAGAGGTTGACTTATGCTTTTGTGTAAGAATTTCACTATCTATTCTAGTTTCCTTTGAGAAACAAGAATATAGAGGTTGACTTATGCTTTTGTGTCAACAAAAACCAAGGCTATCTCTCAGGTGATATCGCTTCCGCGGTGTGAGGGCGTGTCTCTGCGCCCAACAATTGGTATCAGAGCCCTTATTCAGATTGGCGGTGGTTGAGCTACTGATCTGATGTGGTGGTTGATTATTGTGTGGTGAACACAAGATATTTGTTGAAATTCCTAAGAGAATCAGATTTATTTATACAAGCGGAGAATGACGTCAACAAGTAAAACAGTTAAAGTTAGAAAGTACGAGATTGAAAAATTCAATGGGAAAAATGATTTTTTCTATTAGAGGATGCAGATGAAAAATTCGTTAATTTCACAAAAGTTACACAAAGCTTTGGCTGGAAAAGAGAAGAAGCACAAGGACATGTCTGATGAGGATTGGGAGGAGCTGGATCTGGAAGCACGGACGTCGATTATCCTTTGTATTGAAAGGGATGTAGCTTTCTTGGTGGAAGGTGAGGAAACGACTGCGGGCGTGTGGTTAAAGTTAGAGAGCACTTTTATGACGAAGAGTCTAACGAACCGGATCTATTTAAAATCCAAATTATATACTTGTAAGATGGAGGAAGGCTCGTCAATCCAGGAGTACATCAACAAGTTCAATAGGATCTTATCGGATTTGAAAGACATTGAGGTGACAGTGAAAGACGAGGATCAGGCACTTCTACTACTTCTATCTCTGCCGAAGTCTTATGAGAATATGGTTCAAACACTGATGCTTGTGGGTGACAGTTTATCGATGGATAAGACTAGAACGGCGCTTCTAACTGATGATCTTCGAAAAATTACAACTAGTGATATGGCCACTGGTGGTAACAAAGAACAAGCGCAGGGGTTCTTCGCCAGAGGAAGAGGCAATGAGCGAGGAAAAGGCAAGGGAGGAAAGTCTAGATCAAAATCAAGACCTCTTGCGGAAAGACCGTGTTTCAAATATGGTGAGCTAGGGTATTTTAAAGTTAATTGTCCTAACAAGAGAGTAGGTGAGAAAAAGAACAACAACAAGACTGAAAGACGAGAAGACAAAGAAGAGGCGAGCTACGTTTCAGGGGAAGGGAGCGATAAGGAATGCTATGTCGTCACGGGTGACGAGGATACCTCCGGGAAGTGGATTCTTGATTCGGGTTGCTCTTATCACATGTGCCCAAATAAAAAGTGGTTTACTACCTATAGAAGCATTGATAGTAGAACCGTATTGATGGAGAATAACCATGCTTATAAAACGGTGGGGCTCGGTGATATAAAAATTAAGATGCATGATGGAGTGGTCAGAATCTTAACGGATGTACGGCACGTTCCCGACTTACGGAAGAATCTTATCACAGTGGGTGCTTTGGACTCCGGTGGCTGCAAGATTGTTATAAAAAACGGAGTGAAGAAGGTTGTTCGAGGTTCCTTAACAGTGATGAAGGGTGTTCGTCACAGTAATCTATATACTCTCTCGGGTACGACGGTGACGGGAGATGCAGCAGTTGGAGCTGAAGGAAGCGGTGGAGACCCATATGAGCACACACGGTTATGGCATAGACGGCTTGGGCACATGTCAGAGAAGGGCCTGGATCTGCTTGGTAAAGAGGGTTTGCTAAAGAATCTGAAGAAATCTTGTATGGATTTTTACGAGGGTTGTGTGTATGGAAAGGCGCACAGGTTCTAGTTTCTAAGGAGCAAGCACAAGAGCAGAGAGATACTAAATTATGTGCACACGGATGTTTGGGGTCCGGCTTCGACAACTTTCAAGGGTGGTTTCAGATATTTTGTCTCATTCATAGATGATCATTCGAGATATGCTTGGATTTATTTTCTGAAACATAAGAATAAGGTATTTGAGACATTCAAGAAGTGGAAGGCGATGATTGAGAACATGACAGGAAAAAAATTAAAGACATTGAGATCTGACAACGATACAGAGTATACAGATGGTGCCTTCAAGGAGTTCTGTGATCAGGAGGGGATTGCCAGACACTGGACAGTTAGATCTACATCACAGCAAAATGGGGTCGCGGAGAGACTGAATCGAATACTACGGGAGAAAGCAGTGAGTATGCGATCTTATGCTGGTTTGGACAAAGAATGGTGGGCATAGTCGATTGCTACAATTTGCTATATTGTGAATCGATCTTCACATTCAACATTGGACGGTGATACACCCTATCAGGTGTGGTTAGGGGAACATGCAGATTATGAGAGGCTCCGGATTTTTAGGTGTACCGCCTACTATCACGTCAACGAGGGAAAACTTAACGCGAGGGTCAAGAAGATAATTTTCTTGGGGTATGCAAAGGGTGTAAAAGGCTACCGCCTTTGGTGTACAGAAGATTCGAAGTTCGTGATCAGCAGAGACGTTACATTTGATGAGAAATCCATAATTGCTAAGGTACCCAAAGATGATGGTGTTGAAACTGTTGGGAATTCTAAGTCCCAGGTTATTGATATAGAACCTAAAGACCAACCAGGTTCTAGTCGTGTTCAAGTGGGAAATCAGGTAGATGATGAGCTTGAGCAGGAGGAGGTTCAACAACAACAGCTCGAGGATAGCTTGGCTTCCACTAGGCCAATG